GGAACGACCACAAACACCGGCGAACGTCCATGAGCACCCACCAACAAGACGAGGACGACCGCCCACGAATGTCTACAACCGCCCATGAACGAAGGCGACCGCCCACCAACGAAAACGACTGCCTGAACAAACACGAGCAACGACTGCCTGAACAGACACGAGCAACAACGAACCCAGGTGAGCTCTCCCTCCTTCCATCACTCCCTCCCTCCCCTCCCCCCCATCACTCCCAACCCCTCCCTCCCTCTCCCCATCACTCCCTTCCCATCACTCCCTTCCCCTCCATCACTCCCCTCCCCCTTCACTCTCCACTGTTCCCCCTCCCCACCCCTCCCTCCCTCTCTCCCTCACTTCCCAGCACTCCCCCCCTCTTTCATTGCCTGCCACTTCCTCTCCCCTCCCTCATTGCCTATAACTCCTCTCCCCTCCCTCATTGCCTATAACTCCTCTCCCCTCCCTCATTGCCTATAACCCCTTCCCCCCCTCCCTTATTGCCCACCACCCCTCTCTTTGCTTACCACCCCTCTCCCCTCTCCCTTATTGTCCACCACCCCCACCCCCTTCCTCACTGCCCTCCCTCTTCCCTTTATTCAATATGAAATGTAGAATGTAAATTTATGTAATTATATTGAATAAAATGCACTTTTCTCTTCTGGATTCTACAGGTAGCTCTACTATGTAAATATGTACTGTACCAAGATCTTGTCTCATGATATAGTTCAAAATTATATCAAATATATATCTTGATAATATATCCTGGTTCAGGATATAGCTTAAGAATATATCTTGGTAATATATTCTTGTTCAATATCTTGTTGAATATATATCCTTGTTCAAGATATAGCTTGAGAATGGTAATATATCCTGGTTCAATATCTTGTTGGAAATATATCCTGGGTCAAGATATAGGTGAAAGATATATCCTGGGTCAGGATATAATTGAGATATATGTCTTGTAAATATATCCTTGTTCAAGATAAAGTGGAAAGATATATCTTGGTTCAGCATCTAATTAAAATATTCATGATATGGTTGAAAAATAGATCTTGATTCAGGATTTAGTGGAAAGATATGTGTGACTCCATGCTATGACATGGTGAATAGAATTCATTGACCATAAATTTACAATCAAAACTCAAGAGAAAGAGGGAGGAAGGCAGGGAGAGAAGAAGAGGAGGAAAGGGAGAAAGGAAGAGAAGGAGAGAAACAACAAAGAACTTGGTGAACTCTTTGTACATAAATTTACAATCAAAACTCAAGAGAAAGAGGAAGGCAGGGAGATGTTAGGGTTCACTAAATTCTAATGTTGGTGTATTGCTGTAAATACAAAATACATTAGTACTTTGAGAGAAATGAAACTTAACTAGAGACCTGTTGTCCATGCAATGTTGAGTTGATAGAGGAATATCCCAGATCACGTGAGTTCCGGCATATCTTAATGCTGATGAAGTGACATATACTGACATGTTAAATGCATTCGTATATCAGGAGTGTTAGTACTAAGACTTTAACGATACTGACTAAGTAGTTGATAGCACAGAGCTTTATCAATTACTTAAGGATGCGTTGGCACTTTAGTCTTTCTCAAGATCTGAAGTTCACACAAAGTTGGGGTAAAGGTAATGATGTCTTCATGCCCTACTTTACAACAGCTTATATACTTTACATGAGTTCTAGATCCTAAAAGAATACCTTAGAATCTTCTGTAACCTTCAAGCACTTTCGCCGTTATGGTTTCAGAAGTTCTTTGTTCTTTGTTTAGGTACAAATTGTATTTGACGAACCTTTGTTTGGTTATTCTAAGTTTGTCAAATATTGACAAACAGTCGCATTGTGTAATACAAGTCACAATGCTTGGATTCGGGTATACACATCTTTAGAATTTAATTGTAAATGTGAAAATAACTTGTAAGTACTTGAGAAATGTCATAGAGACTTAGGTAGGTGAGATGAGAGGGAATGAGAGGGAAAGAAAGGTATAATGGTGGGTATAAGAAGTAATACCATAACAGGAGAGAAGAAGAGGAGGAGAGGAAGAAAGGAAGAGAAGGGGAGAAACAACAAAGAACTTGGTGAACTCTTGTCTGTGAAGGATGGTAATACAGATGTGGGTGGGGTATGCAGATAAGGTGCAACTGGAGATCTCAGAGGTGGAAGTGGAGGGGATTTCTAAGCAGCTAAAAAATTCCATAGTGTGAACTGTATCCATAGTGTCAAAGTGGATAATACTTAAGCAACTCAGGAATCTTGGACTGAATAGCTTCAAGGTGAATCACACATGTCATTGAGGCCCAAAATTGTTAGAGGAGAATGAATGAATCTGTAACTGGACTGCATTCATAGTGTGATTGGAAGTGGATGATACTCAAGCAACTCAAGTAGATCACAGATGCTATTGATGCCCTTATTGCTACCTACATACTGGAAGCACAAGCCAGACATAGTGGAAATCATTGCACAATCTTCCAGAATATATACCACAGACATCAAAAAAATCACAAGTTTTTTGCTGAAACTAGGACCCCTGACACCCCTACAGACCAGAAAAATATATCCTTACCACATCTGCTTCACAAAATATATCCTAAGGCCAAACCAGGGCAAAAATATATTTCTAAGGTGTGACAGTGACATTTCAGGGTCCACTCACCAAAAATATATCCTTACTGCATTTCACTTGCAAAATATATTTTGGGGGTGTGACACAGACATTATAATTTTTGTGTGACATTTCAGGGTCCATGTCTCAAGAATATATTTTAGATTTCAGGGCTTTCTAGGACCCATATATATCTAGAATATAGATATGGTCTATGACATTTAGTCATGTAACTTATGTGGAGTTTGCATGACTAATAGTCAGTTGGCACTGGGTGACTGAAGTGGTGTGTGCTAGTAAATGAATTCTAGATGACTCTAATGTAATAGAAATACCAGGAAATTGTCATGGAAGCAGAATACACTGGGAGTGTTTTTTGAAGGTGGTTTGGAGGAGATGATTTGACAAGTCTGTAATGGCATACCCAATGTGATGCTCTCGAAGACTTTCCACATACCCGATCCCAACAGTATTGTACAATGCTGACAGATATGCATATTTCTCAGAAGTTGACATGGATTGGTACACCGCAGAAGATGTAGTACCAACATTGAGGGAATTGGAACTTTTTAGCACCTGCTCGGACATTCCTCTCAACATCCGACAGCACACAATGGCAAGAATGTCAGCCAGGATCCTTTGGATAGGCAATGGGGTGAAAATCACTCACAGAGATTCAAGGGGGCTTTTTGGAATGACTGAGGATATAACGGAAAACAAAGCCATTGTCTCTTTAACAATGGAGAATGTAACAACTACCATACCCTTTTCATCCCTTCGAAAAGATCTCAAAGTAGGGGACAAAGTCCACATTCTTTTGGGAGACCATGAAGGTGTTACAGGTTGGGTAGTGAATGGAGATGATGACTATGTGTGCATCTGCTTTTTATTATATTATACTTCTTCTAACATTCTGTCATCCTTTAGATAGAGGTATCTCCAGGGATTGTCCAGTTCTTCATCTCCCCCTTTGTCTTCGGAACAGAGTCCTTGGATTTAAAAGCTCCCTTCACAGATGTGCAAAAGTGTGTCATGAAGGGGGACTCCAATAGTCATCTTGTAGGAAAACAAGTAATGGTCACCAAAGGGGATTTTAGAGGTTACCGAGGCAGAATAAAAAGCACAGTTGGTGAAAAAAGGGTCTTGGTTGAGCTCGAGGCACACCTCCAAAGCCCACAAGTTTTTGACATCAATTCTCTACACATCATGCAAGCCCCTTATCTTATTTTTTGAAATTGATGCTAATCAGCTTCCAGTGCTGATGAAAGGCTTCAGGCCTCGAGAGCTTCTCACCAATTTTACTTACCCACTTGAACCAGTGCCTCTGCCTGGTACTCTGGCAGGCTTTTTGTTCGCTGGTTACCCCTTGCCGGATCCGCAACCCTCAGTCACATATCCTGCTGCTTTCCTTCTGCAGACTCTGGCCATTGCAGGGCCATCTACTCCACTTCCTAACTTGGAAGATATCCTGATGACCCCAGCTTGGAACCCAAGCTCACAAACCCCCCACCGTGGTGATGATGGTAATTATGTTTCTGATGATGATTCAAAGTCAATAGATACTGATGCAATTGTGGCAGCCTCTTCTCTGTATTGGCTCAAAGATGGCTGCTTCGCCAACATGAGACTGAGCCTTCATCTCATCAATACCAACCCTAATTTCCATAACGGCCAGCACGAAGATAAGTGCGGGGAGTTCAAGGGAGTGGTCAGAGATGCAGTCAAGGTTCAACTCAGTTACAAAGTGGTTGAAGTGCCATTTCCATACTTAATGCCTGAACGGCCGGAGTGCAAAGGCCAAGTCATTACTGTGTTTGACAGCCCACATAGGGGGTTACAGTTTAGGATTGAGGAGTTTGGTGAAGAGGTCTGCGGCTGCTCGATTTTGAAATCAACAACACTTTTGAGAAAGGTTGATGTCAAAATTGCCACCAATCTACTGGTAGTGACCTGAGACACCCAGTGATAAAATACCTTAGATAAATTTTAAATACCTTAGAGAGACTTTTCTTGTGTAATTTATGCATATCTTGATGGCAAGGCATATACTATTGACCTTAATGCAAGACCCATGAGTCTTGAGATGACTGAACGAATGAACTTAGAGAATCACTATTTATGACTGGCTTAGCCAGCTCCAGCCAGCTTCTTAGCTGGAGCTGGAATTAGCTGAGCTGTGGGAGTCATCACTCGGCAGTTCTGGCTGGGCTTTGGCTAAACTCAGCTCAGCTCCTGGCTTCAGCTGACTTTGAGGTGGAGCTGCAGCAACACTAAATCAGAGAGCAAAAAGTGAATATGAATGCACTTGAGAGGCCAACATTGCCAAGAACATGGAGCTCATGCACAAGCTCAGAGAGAAATACCCATTGCCAGATGACCTGAAAGGAAAGGAGAAGAAAGTGATGAAGGAAAAGAAGAAAACAAAGGAACCCCAGAAACCCCGCAGGTCTTCTGCAAGATTCCAAGGACCAAGGTAAGCATTGTGGACACAAGTATACATAGATGTCACTATAGTACCATAACAATAGAAATTGACAATTGTCCCAATAAGTCATAGGTCTACCCCAATGGGCCCAATACACATGGACGCCATGGATCCATACCTGGGACCCATGGATGTACCTAACATATGGTATTCATGTGTGGCCCAACGGGTATTCATCAGACCTCATCATTGCCATAATCAATGGTAAAAGGTTGGGCCACATGTGCTCAAAAGGACATGATTATTGCTATAATCAATGGTACCATAGGTACCCAAAGTATAATCTACTGATAGCCAAAAGTTGGGCCCATTTGCCCAGTGCACTTGTTGAAAGATCCAGATACATTCCTCCGGAAAGCTATTACGGAGACCTTGTAGAAGACACGGCCGCAAGTATTAATCAACGGAAAGCGGGGACGCAACTATGGCACAACGTGATCCATCTCCCAATACTTTGTAGAAGATGCGGGTGCGAGTATTCATAAATGTAAGTCACAAACTACCGACCCGCATCCCTTCCATCCAACAGATCCAAGCTTTTGTGATCTCCGAATACATTGTAGAAGACGCGGGGGGAAGTCTCAATCAACATTATACATCTCCGAATACTTTCTAGAAGGAACGGGTGCAAGTATTAATTAACGAAAAGACACGGCCACAAGTATTGAAAAATGTGATGGGTCTCTGGATACTTTGTAGAAGCCGCGGGCGCAAGTATTCATAAATGTGATGGATCTCCAGATACTTCGTAGAAGCCGCGGGCACAAGTATTCATAAATGTATGTAAAAAACTAAGGCCCACCATCCATTCCATCCGACACCTTAAGTACAGCTCCTGAACTCACACCCTTGGATTGAAGTTGAACGGCGTTTTTCTTGAGGCTGATCATCATGTCCAACTGTTCAAGTTGGTCCTCCGCATAGTGCTTGGAAGTTAGGTTAATTAACTGGAAAATAACCGAGACCAGACCGGACCTAACCGCAAAAAAACCGGACCGCGGTTAGTGGTTAGTCAATTTTGGAAATGAAATAACCGGTTATTTTGCGGTTAACTAACCGTTAAAAAACCGGTTATGACCGGTTACAACCGACCCTATTATACCCCTTCAAAACGCATCTAAAAGCATGAGAAACGCTAAAAATCTGACAGAGTTATGGTCAAATCTCTAAATTATTGGCTAAAATAGTAGGCTTTCAAGAATATTATTATAAAATTGTCAATTCTTCACCGAATTTAGCGTTCTTGGGCTTGTTTTAAAGCTACGATGCATGGCAATAATGTTTACCGCAAGGAATATGAGAAATATACGCCGTTTTAATCGATTTTCTATTTTTTCGGTCCTAACCGGTTAGTAACTGCAACTAACTGGTTTTCATCGGTTATCTTCGGTCCAGTTAGGTTATTTTGGGTCTGGGAACGAACCCTAACCGGTCTCGGTCTCGGTTAGAGCCCCTGGGCACCCAATAACCTAACCTAACCGGACTTTCAAACACTACCTCCGCATGAGAGCGGACCTGCAGCAAAAAGTCCCGAGCCCTCACCGCTTCCTCGTATTCCCTATACAATACCTTATACGCCATTCTGGCGTATTCCAGAGGGTGAGTCACTGCTGGCAAATCCAGTGCGACCTCATCAAAAAAGGTCCGACGGAGATTCGAGGAGGGCGAGGATAGAGGTACCCGCGTAGGACCATCAGAATCCCTGAGCGTCGCGGAAGTTTTATTGCTTTCGGAGTTTGCAATAGCGACCTTCAGGATGGCTTTTAGAAAGTTGTAAAAGGACGAAATGAGATACGTACATCCGTATCATTTCTCGCCCGCTCCAGTCGCTCGTAGTTTTCCAACATGGAATTGATGCCTAGGTAGATTGGTCAACGAAATCAACAGTCATACGTGAACACCTACCCTTTGTTGCGGCGAACGTCCGGGACATCATGTCCGCGGAAGCATTCCCAGCCAAACGGACTTTTGTTCTCCAGTCAGTTGACTAGTCAATAAACAAAAGGGTTGAACAGTGCGCACCAAGAGGGGACGTAGACGACATTTTATTGCTGAAGACGATTCGGAGGGTGGACAATGGAGTACTTTGTTCAAGACAATTTGGATGGTGGACAATGGAGTAATCGAGATGTGATCCTCCAGATTCGGCCGAAATTCATTGATGTCCGAAAATGGAAATGTTGACATAGAATATTTCCACCCCCACCACCTCTCTATTCTTTCCCATCACCCATCCACTCTGTTATCCATCCACCACGTTAGCGTCGACGGTCATTATGTCCACCCCACTCTCCATCTTCAACATCCCCTCCGATCTCACCAAGAAGCTTCCCACCCGTGAAAAAATCAACGAGATTTACCCGCAGATTCCCTCACTCATCGAATTGGCCCGCACTTGGTACAGGGAATCGTATGAAGGTGCGAACGAGCGGACAAGGGCAGCTCGGGAGGATTCCCTACGAAAGGTTGTGGTGAGTGTATTTCACTATCTAACATTACATGCAACTCAGAGAAAAATGTAGGGTTGGTACCTACGTTGCGCGCAAGTCCTGCAACACGATCCTGACTTTTCAGTAACGCCCGAGATGGAGCGGATTACCAACGAGGTCCTTGTAACGGAGCAGGGGGATTTTAATTGGGAAGTTCTCGAGGAGCCATCGCCCGAGCAGGAGCAAGAGGAGGAAGTTGAGGAGGATGACTTCAGTGATCTATTAGGCGGCTGGGGAGTGAACGCGGATGGGCCAGCGGCCGGAGAGAAAAGCAAACAGAAGGAGGTTGTGGAGGAAGTTGCGAAAAAGCGGAGTAGAGGGCACAAGCGTAAGGCGGATGCAGGGGATGATGGAGACATGGAGGCTGAGGTTGTGGAAGTACCAGGGCCGAAGGAGCAGAGGAAGAAGGCGAAGGTGCAGGGAGAGAACAAGGATGTCGAGATGGACGACCCCGATTATGACTTTGGGACAATGGGAGTTACGGCCACTGAACCCACCCCCCGCCATCGCACTCCTTGCAAGCAGTGCGAGATCGCCAACTTGGATTGCGTTGTCGCAATAGGTCTCAAAGGCAACGTGTGCGTCAAGTGCCGTTCAAGGAAGATCGGCTGTAGCTTTGTCAACACCCCCGGTGCGTCTGCCAATCGACTTACCTCCAATCCGATGCCCAAGAAGATGACGTCGAAAAAACCCTGTGAACTGACTCCCCCCATCGTCCTCGTCACTGCTCCGCCGAAGCAAAGTGCGAGGCCAGCGGGCAAAGAAATCGAGGCCAAAGATGCGCGCCCTCGTCCTCGTGCCACCAAACCACCCGCGAAGACTGAGGCTGTCACCCAGAGTGGGGGCTCTCGACCACCCCCCGCCAAGGACGATGCCCGCGGTCTCATTCATCCAGAGAAGACAACGGTATATGCGAATTCGCGCTACACGGGACCGAACCAAATCCCTGAGAAGTCCGTAGCAGAGGTAATCGTCCCAGAGTCTGCAAAGGAACCAAAGGTGGCTATTCGGGTGACGCGGGCCTCAAGTCGCCAGACGTCCGAACCTGAGGTTAGCGTCACAAAGGGGAGGGTAAGGGATGGGAGTGTACGACCAGGCCACGACGGTGAAACAGCCAGTAAGTCCTTCTATTTCTCTATGGAAATACAGAGTGACTTAACGTCCCCCAGGGGCTACATTTGCGGAGCTTAGGGAAGACTCCCATACGCCCATCGACCTCCAGGATCCATTCACCCGTCGTCTCGACAGCATCTCGACATCCGTCCGCCAGCAAGGCGTTGATCTGGGCAAAATGTCCAATAAGGTCCGCGAGACGTCCGCCCGAGTCGAGGCCATGTCCGCCATCGCGATCCGGCAGAAGGACCAGGAGATGGAAGAGTTGAAGAAGGAACTCGAGATGCAGAGGTCGATGTTGGAGGACCTTGAGGAGAGTCAAAAGGTCTTGATGGAATCGTTCGCCGCACGCGCCCCGAGTGAGGATCCCGTCTCTTCACAGGTGCTGGACGAACTCCGTGAAAAGGTTGAAGGAATGGTAACCCAGCAGCAGATGAGGTCCTTGTCCGAGGGCCTGAAAACCCGGATTCAGAACTTTATCCAGGGGGTGAACGACAACCTTCGACTAAACAACGCGGATGGAATCTCGAGGTTACCGGACGAACTGGATATCCTGGGTGGGAGGGTCGCTGGGATCGAAGAAGACATTCGAAACGTACGCCGTGGAAAGGAGTTCATTGAGGAAAGATTGGGGAAGCTAGAGGGGCTCTGCCTCAATGTGATGACCAATGAGTTCTTGAGGCACCCGGATGATGGTTTGGACAAGCGGATGAGAGTTGAACGGGCGGTGGGATGGGACAGGGTAGTCGACGACGACGCGGTTCGGAAGGAGGTGCAGAGGGCTAAGGACGTGAAAGGGGGTTTGAGCGAAGTCCACGGGTCCGTGGGTGCTACAGACCTGACTACCATCTCCCTGGGCGACGTCCATCCACGGCCATCGACTCCTTCCAACGACGCTCTGCACGGCCTAGTCCCCTCCATCGATGACGGACGTTACATTTTCAATGCAGTTGACCGCTCTCCAGTTGACCGGGCCAAGACGTTGGATTAGTTGTACGGTGTCTACGGCCCTCCTATAATTTTTTTTGGACATACACATAGTTATCGCAGCTAGGTTTTCAAATACAATTTTTCTTGAGCAGATGGTTACAATGCATTCCCTCCAGATGCTGGAGGGAATTAAACGTTAATCACCGAGGGTGATTAACGTTCCTGAAAAGGTCCAGGCGGCCAAAACAAAACGGTCCGCGGCCGTGGGGAAACGATCCAGCTTCTCCAGCTGTCTACATAGTTATTGCAAAGATTCCATTCAGATTATATTGTCAAGTACTAACGGACTGCTAAAGCTCCAATGTATTTAGACAAATGAAAGTCAAGTTCCAGTAAGTAAAAGGTCCGACGTTGGGCCGGACTATTTGCGTTTACCCCCGCGCTTTGCCTTCGATCTAGTCAAGGGGATGGACGGACCAGGGGCATTGGTACGGGTGCTGCTCCTGGTTGGCTTGGCAGGGGTTGGTTTCACAGCGGTCCGGGCCCTCTTTGTGGGTGGGTCATCTTTCATCTGGATGTCCTGACCCTCTGGATTGTCCGATGGTTCCAATACACGTTTTGGAACCTCTTCAACGCGTGCATTTTGGATCATTGAATTATTCGGGAGTGAATGATTCAACGCCAGAGTCTCCTTGTCTGCCAGCGTGGGGGTAGCCCCTTCAGGTGTCCTTTCTCCCGGATTGGTGGAACCGCATGCAGTCGTTCTTTCAACCAGCATGAGGTCAGGCATTTTCTCTGCGACCTTGGCAAAGACGGGCTCAATTGTCTTCGGAGAATCGTTCCCACCCGCGGGTGGTGACGGGTCTGCGACGTCCCTGTTCATTGCCACTGAGGGGGGGGTGTATAATGCAGCCCCAGCCAGTACACCATTGGTCTCAGCACTGAACCAACGTTGAAACACGCGGAATTGTGCAATAGCTTGCTCCTCGGTCCAATCGACGCAGTCGAGGGGAAGATGAGCCGCAAACCTGTTCCACAAAGCCTTGTCAGCGGTGGCTAAACTGTGGGGTGCAGGGAGGGTCTGGACGATGGTTGGGCCAATGGCGGGCGCTGGTAGGGTATAGGCCGTGGTTGTGGAGTGTGCTCCATCGGTTGTACCTACCACAGCGGTTCCAGCCACCCGCGGGCCCTTCGTAGTAGTGGTTCCACCCACCCGCGGGCCTTTCATGCCCATCCCACCAGATCCCATGCCACGTCCGGCTGTACGGTCTAAGCTATTCGGAAGAGGGAGGTCATCATCAGAAAAGACCAAGTCATCCATCGCCAGAAGATCGAATTCTTCTCCGGAATCGTCGACCATCTCCGCGGACTTCTTTCCTTTTTTTCCCTTTCTGTTGACTTTACCCTTGCCCTTTTGTCCCTTGACCTTTTGTTTCAATGGATCATCAACTTCCTCATCACTTCTGAGTTCCCCTTCATTCGATCTACGGACTTGTCGTTTCAAGTTCTCCTTTGCTCTGGATCTACGGGTCGGCTTTTGCGTATTCGTCCGGACGTCTGGAGCCTTTGCCGGGACACGTTCAGTACCCTGGATGACAAGCCGAAAGCGAAACACAGTCTGCCCGGCACGCTGTCGTTGAATCCAAAAGTTTAACAGCGTCTTCACCTTCTGAATGGCGAGGTGCGACGGTTCCGCATCAAGCATCTGGTAATCCGGAAGGTATTCTTCATCTATGAACGTTGCCTGATCTTTCACAATATCGGCCCACGGGACCCGAGAGGTTCTTCCATCAGTGGCCAATGCTAAAAAGATATGGGCCGTTGTAGGACAGGATGGCAGGTAGTCTGACTCACAATAATGCATTCCTACAAATGATCTTAATAGCTTTTTCAACCATCGGATCATAACCTCCCCCATGACATCCGAAGGCCATGACTCTGGCTCTGGGAGTATTGGCTCACCATTCTCCCGGGTGTCCAAATCCATTGGTGAGTTACGATGTCCCCCGACAAAAATATCATTCTCCGCGGCCTTGGCATTTCTATCATAGCATTGCTGAAGATATTTTCCCCAGGAGAGGTCAGAAACAGAACCGTCGTCAATAACATCTCGATAGCTCCTGCCCATCCCGAGTTCAGCATTAAAGTCGAATTTGGAAGCGGATAGTGTCCCGTCTTCATCGCGGCAACCCCAGAAAATGTAGACCCTCCCCCCAAGCTGCTTCCAGGCTTTTTCAGCAAAGGTCCGGCAGAACTTCATTGCGGATTTCACAGCCAGCCTGTTTGTAAAAGCATGAGCCGGGTGAGAAGGGTACAGACAAAGGCAGACCTCTGTTTCTCCTCTTCCGGAGGCCCTTGTAAATTCCACTTTTTCGCCGTCTCTTTTAACTCTTCAATCTCATCCTCTGTCAGATTGCTCAAAACCAAATTCAGCCCGGCTTGGAAGCTACCAAACTTAATATCCCCATTTCCAGATAGCGTCCGTTGTGCCTCCTTAATTTCCATCTTCTTCTGCACCGATGCGACGGTCCGGAAGTTCCAGTTCATGCTCCGGATTTTTATTTCTTTAGGCTTTCGAATTCTGGACTTGACTCCGAACCATTGCTGGACGGCCTGTGGTATTCAATTAGCAGTCAAACGGGCCATCCGTTTCGGTCTATGCTTACCTTTCGGAGGTTAGCTGTATCTCCTTCTGCAGATTCCTTCCTGGCCTTGAATTTTTGTAGCACCTTTCCCATAATTGCAACCCGGGCTCCAGCAGACTTCTTTGACCTATATTCCGGAAGATATTTTTCTAGGATCTCCGTCTGCCAGTCTTCCCAGATATGGGCTGGGGGTGCGACGTGTTCCACCGTTTTCGGGGGAGGTATTTCGTCCCCGGAGGGCACAGGGACATCTAGCGAGTTGTTGTTCATTCTTTAGAAGCTCGTGAGATGGAGTTGTAAATGTATTCTTGAATTGTTTTTTTTTTCTTCGCTGAATTCGGCAGAGAAATGTTAGACTTCGGGATGCTAAACAAACAAAGGCCTGATTACCATATTTGACAAGTTTTCTGCCTTTTTTGGCAAGCCCACCAGAGATTGGCGAGCTAAAAATAGAATGCTCACTCTTTTCTGCTAGTCCGCATTATACTACGGTTGCCGGGCATGCTATCAGTGGTGACAAAATCAGAGCCTTCACCTGACCCTATTTAATCTACTTGGGAGAAATGCAGCAAAGGAAGACTTATCCATTGATTGATAAACATGAGGTTCAACATGATGAACATGACGTTCACCACGAGGCAAAACGTCTCCTTCAAAGTTCCACAACAACACCACGGATTAGAGATGAGTACCCGGAGAACAAAGGTCATAGGCTCTCTGAAACACACCCGTTATACTCAAGGTCCCCGTGGAAATGTCAAAGTGAAGACAGTTTTTCCAACAGACCCAACGTCCTCTCAATGCATTTCCACCCCATCTCAATCCCCCCAAAAAAACTCTGTTTCTTTACCCCAAGTTGACCGGGATGACTGCTCAATGGGAACAAATGAAGAAATTATGTTCATGAACGTGAACAATCAGGAGATAAATGGATCCAAGGTAGGTACCTTGACTTAGTCATATCAACAGATTTTTTACAATTGACAGTCATCCAACGATTATTTACGTGAGTGGGGAAATCGTCGCCGGTTGTATCTTGATGAATTACTTGAACGAGAGGCTCCGGCACCCTCTAATATCTGTGCTACGTGCGGGGTAAGGGAGGGAACGTGGAAATGCCAGGATTGTCCGGGAAATACATCCGAATGCACAGATTGCTGCAGAATCTCACATCGTTGACATCCGTTTCACAGGGTGAAAAGCTGGACTGGTTCATATTTCTCATCATCTTGGTTATGGAAAGTGGGTACTGTCGTACACTTGGGACACAACGGCTCGCCTTGTCCGGGGATGAAATGGGATTCTTCGGATAATGAGGGGTTAGACCCAGATATTTATCTGGATCAGGGTGGATGTCCATTGGATTCCGCGGATATGGACCCGGATGACATTGACATTGACATCGATATCGAGGATCTCACGGATGCCGGGGAAAGTCTCCAGGATGACAATGAGATCCCCGATCCACCTGTATCTTATCTGAATGGACGTCGGGTGCTTACATTTGTTCATACAAACGGAATTCATCAGCTACCTACGTCATTCTGCCATTGTGCGGGTGCACCCGCATTGGATATTCAATTGTTACGGATGGGATTCTTTCCCTCTACCTCCGCTCAACCGCAGACAGCTTTTACTTTCAGTGTCCTTGATGACTATCTCCTGGAAAACTTGGAATGCAAAACGTCTGCGACCCATTACTATTCCAAACTCCGGAGAATGACTTCCAAAGCATTTCCAAGGCAGGTTAAGGTATGTAGGAGCCACAATGAGATTTTTGGACTATGGACTCAAAAGGAAATGGCAGGACCGATATCGAGAGCTTATTCGGGCAAGTCGTCAATGGAGAAGTTTAAAAGAATACAAGTGGTTTGGATTCGGACATCAACATCGTCCTCCCGGAACAGGAGAGTTAGCACTTTTCTGTGCAGCATGTCCACAGCTGGGGGTTAATCTTCCAGAGAACTGGAAAGAGGATGCTGAGCAATGGGCGTATTCTCGGGGCTTTGTTCTGGATGGTAACTTTACCTGTAATCATAAATTGCAGCGACGGCCGGAAACGGATGTTTGGTTAAAGAATGGGGAGGGATACATGGTGGAAAAGCAAAGATACGGACAGCATTTGAGGGTCGCGAAAGAAGTCAAGGAGGTGAGCAATTAGCCATTTATTCCGGATCCTTTCGACCCGGCCGTTCTAGGCACCAACTTGTAATGAGCATCATGCTGTCAATGACAAGGCCCGTATTCACAAAGGTTGCGATTCCACGGGTCTGGGAGCTGCTGCGTGTCTGAGACATGGCTGCTACTGCCCTGGTGGTGTTGTTGACTTTCAAAAAGGCGAAAGGTAGGTAATCCTGTCCTCCACCGTCTTTTATGTCATTGAGAAAGTTTGCTAGACAGATGAACATGGATTACGCACTTTGTGAGGCAATGAAGAACACCAACATGGAGGAAATAAAGAAGTGCATTGTGGTCTATGATGTGAACTGCCAGTACCATAAGAATTTTTTCAAACGGGTGGAGGACAGCCCGTTTCTCGAAGTTCACCCAGGCCTAATCATCATTCCCGGGATAGGCCTTTTCCACGTCCACGGGCATCAATTGATTTGTCTGGCTAGGTTTTCACCTACTTTTATTGAGGGGGCGGGTCAGGCTGATGGTGAAATTCTGGAGACCCTTTGGTCAACCCTTAATCACATTGGTCGACCCTTAATCACATTGGTCGAATCTCCCGAACAATGACTCTCGCCCATCGGACCGAGGTCTTGGACTCCCACATGGGAGATAGCAACTGGAAGAAACTCGTGAACATGGGTCCGCCTTAAATATGTCTTCCAAAAGCGATGCTGATTGGTGTTAGTTTCTTCGCTATGCCACCGCTGGAAGAAGATTCAATCCGGACTCGCGGCCGCGGAAGCGGAGTTATTGAAACTTTCGGACACTGCGAGCCCCGAACAACTTAAAGATTGGGATGGACTTGCTGAGGAAGCACAGAGATGCCGGGTGGCTGATGCCTCAGCAATGGATGTGTATGAAGCAGAAGCTCCGAAGGGTTTGTCTTCCTATGTTACAACCTAATCTGTCTTGTATTAAAGGCCAGCATCAGTGCCTACGCAGAAGGACGTTCAAGCAGCGCTCATGGGACAGGAATCCCCAGTGAACGCTTCCATGGGAGTAACATTGTGGGTTAGCACTGGGATCAAGATACAGGAAGCTCAGTAAGTTAATTGTCCCTCATCAGGGACTTTAAGTTTATATTAGTAGATTGGCGTTAAGTCGGTTTATCCGGATGATGAGCAGGAAGCCAACACCCGAGGACAAGCTCGACCTGGCGAAGTGACGTCAGATGTTTCTCTGAAGAATTGATGCATTCGAGCGAGAAGCATACGAACTGTTTCCCGGAGTAGACTTCGTGAGTCAGACCATGGACATACCACCCGTGGAAGACGGATATGAACATGACGATGATTTGGAGATGCTGCTGGCCAATCCCCCTTCATCTGACAGGCAAATGGCTGAAAGCATGGAGGTCATACTCCCCTCGTCTTTTCCTGACCTTCCGGAGCAAATGGCGATTGCCCGTCAGCGGGAGATTCTTCTCCGGATTGCACAAGCCAATGATACACTGGCAGCCATCCGTTTGGAAATAGGACACAAATCATTCATCTATCGCAAAGAAATTAACAATCAGGAAAGTAAAAAGGGAAAGACCCGTTCCTATGACAAGGTAAATACTGCGGATAGAAACTTGGCACACCATCTCCGGGTCTATGCACACGCTCGATGGGCTTTGGCCCGCTTGGGTGCGTCGGCTGACATTCTCAACAAATATCGACCTATAGAAAAGAAAGAAACCCATACGCTTCCCAATATTTCTCAGCCAAATGGTCGGGGCTTTAGAAACCAGAACATTCCCTGGTTCTGGGGCATGAATATTCATGGAGATTCATTCGAAAGCTTTCACATGGAAGAATGTAGGAACTTTAGCCAGTCTTTGGATCTACGGCTAACAGTAATTCCAGTGTATCGAGTGAATTATATCCGGGCGAAGGCAAGGCGGGACAGGTGGCTGGAGGAATTCAAGCTCGTTCCGCGGGAAATGCGCTGGACGATGTTGTACTTCCAGCGTCAGGCTGAAACGTGGGATGGCCTTGGATATGAAACGACTCCAGGGAAGCAGTGTTATGCTAGGAGACAAGCGGGCATGTGGCGGGCGTTCCAGATCCAGGCGCTCGCTGACTTCCAACGATCCGGGGCCATTTGATTACGGGTTCTCCTTGCATGACTACGGCCGCGGGCGTAACGTGGGAGCGTATCATGTCCGTTCGGGTTGTTTGCTACTGTATTTCCACAGGGCTGATCTAAGAATTGATTGTATCTATCGGCAAAATATTTCTTGTCCTCCAAATATGTTGTTCACTGATGAGCAGTTGGACAACAAAGAGCGTACGGTGCCTATGCAACAACTTCTTTATATGATGAGCTCAAGGTTTCAGGCCGCAAACAGAGCTTTGAGGGATGTAAAAACAGTGGACCAGGAAGAAGCATGGGTGAAAATGTTTCAACAAGAAGTGGTAAAGTGACCCTGTTTTTGTCCCTCATTTCCCCATTAATGTTCTCAATTCAGGACGCAATTACATATTTACTCGGATCGCATCGTGCCCGAGGGTATCACTACGACATTCCCACGTATCTTGCAGAATCCATCTCCGCGAGGGGCCCAGTTCATATGGACTTTGAATGCCCGGACACCAACCCTGATCGAATCGTGGACTGCTATTTGAGTGACTGGTGGAACGCAAAGGATATGGCGTCCATTGTGGATACATTTCCGAAATGGAGTGATGTGCAGGAGGATGCACTTCTCATACATTCAAAGTTTGTAAGTTGACCGTTTTGCTGAAACCAGGCTGTCTATTGTTGACATTTCCGTTTAGCTGGAGCAAATCTATGAACACCGAGGGGAGGTTCCGATCTCTGTATCCAACTCCGCGGAGATAGAACAATTGGAAGCTCTCCGGGATGGCATCGCCCGCGGAGCGGCGACCTTGGATGTAGAAATCAACCGGCTCTCTGACAACATCAAGGAGCTGGACGAAAGAATGCAGGACGCCTCAGTGGATATTACTGCAATGGAGGCGGAATATCGGACTGAATATCAACGTCGCGTTCTTGATAACATCCGAGAACGTCATGAGAAAGAGGATAAGCTGAAGGAGAATACACAGGTGGCGGAGGATATGGCTCAAGCAATGCTTTCATCTGCCCGACCAAGACGGGCACTTCCACAAAGGCTACAGAGGAGGGGCAGGCTGCCCATTCGCGGTCTCCCAGAATTTTCCCTCTCAGAGGGTGGGGACCCGGATACGTTGCACGGACCCGCCTTGGAGCAAGACATTCCGGCCAATCCATGTCAAGACAATTTGGACGTTATGATGGTTACGGACGATGATTTTTCAAAAGCTGTTCGGGGTCTGTCCATGTAGTATATTATGGAATGTATATATCTATATCAATGGTTTCCATTCACCCCCTTGTTCCAGATGAATGATTCTTTCCATCTTTTCAGGGTCGTCTAGTTCCAACCAAGCCAGAAACAACTCATCCGACATCCAAGGATGCTGGTCATACCCCAGTTGACGGAGTACCCGTTCTCTCATGAAGAATGCCAAGCAGTATCGTTCCTCGGTTGAAGGCGATACTCCATGCCTAACGGACTTGGACAGTACTGAGAGAAGAGTGCCCGGCTTGTATTGAAATCTAATCCCAATGCCTGGAAGCTCGGCCCGAAGGTTTGGATCAATCGTCCGGCCAATGGTGGCCAGGAGATCGAACATTCCCATCGGACTTTGTCCATCTCTATGGAATGGCGATTCCCTCTGACTTATGACTGATAGTCCCGTAAATCCGCTCGCCCAATATCGAAGTATTCGACGTAGTCCGTCGACGTCCTGAATGGCATGGACGGGGGAAACGGGCTTTCCATCCGGATCTTTCTTCCCTTGATTGGCAGCCCGGATAAGCGAAGCCCGCATAATACAATACTGCGCAGGATGGAGGACACTCATAACACCCCCCACTATCGCTTGAAAGTCCATAATGTCCCTGATAAATCTCATACCTCCACCAGAGTCGTCCTTCAAGGTGGAAGATGCTTGCAATGGTGTACCATCATACTGGGAGGCCATAAGCGAGGAATAACTATAAAATGTAGAAATATACCTCATGTCCGGCAGATCCCCAAAGTGGTGTAAGAGTTACGCTACCTGCGGGTATCTCTGATTCACCCGGGGTCCGAAAATAACCCGCGTCATTTCGACTGGTGGCTACCACTTTTATGATAAAACTAAGGCAATTGCCTGTAGAGCTGTGTGTATAAGTCCACAAGTTTTATGAAAGGCATTTCATAGATGTGTCCTGTGTTTTCTTTCTCATAAAACCTATGTTATTTTCATAAGATATAGGCAAGGCCACAGAGTGCTTTTCATAATTAAACCTGTGCGCTTTCAATAGGTATTTCATTCACTGGGTTAGGTGTTTCATTGCCTTTTTCATAATTAATGGTGTGCACTTTCATTTGAATATGTTTCATAATTAATGGTGTGCACTTTCATTGAATATTTCATTAGGAATTTTGGGCGCTTTCATTGCTTTTTTCATAATTAATGCTGTGCAATTTCAATAAATATTTCATTCACTATGTTAGGTGTATTCAATGCCTCTATCATATCTAATGGTGTGCGCTTTCATTGAATATTTCATTAGGAATATTGGATGCTTTCATTGTACTTTTCATAATTAATGTTGTGCAGTTTCAATAAATATCTCATTCCCTAGGTCAGGTGTATTCATTGCCTCTTTCATATTTAATGGTGTACGCTTTCATTGAATATTTCATTAGGAATATTGGATGCTTTCATTGTACTTTTCATAATTAATGCTGTGCAATTTCAATAAATATCTCATTCCCTAGGTCAGGTGTATTCATTGCCTCTTTCATATTTAATGGTGTGCGCTTTCATTGAATATTTCATTAGGAATATTGGATGCTTTCATTGTACTTTTCATAATTAATGCTGTGCAATTTCAATAAATATCTCATTCCCTAGGTCAGGTGTATTCATTGCCTCTTTCATATTTAATAGTGTGCGCTTTCATTGAATATTTCATTAGGAATATTGGATGCTTTCATTGTACTTTTTATAATTAATGTTGTGCAATTTCAATAAATATCTCATTCCCTAGGTCAGGTGTATTCATTGCCTCTTTCATAATTAATTGTGTGCGCTTTCATTGAATATTTCATTATCAATATTGGATGCTTTCATTGTACATTTTTATAAATATTGTCATTAGCTAGTTTATAAATATTCATTGCCTAGTTCAGGTGTATTGATGTGCACTTTCATAATTAATGCTGTGCGCTTTCAT